GGGCAGGTGCAGCCAATGAGAGGTGAGCCTAAGACGCACTGCTCCTCCTACCGGATGGTGATTGGCTACCGTCGCAACTGTTCCAAAGCCGCTCATATTGCTTACTTTCGTATTGAAGGCGAACTGATCAGAATGAGCGCGCAACGATGCACTGTTGCTGGTAGTCTACCAATACAATGTTTAATACAAATGAACGTTGTTATGCATGAACGGTTACATTGCTGCGCGTCCAAGAGTTTCCTGTTCGCCTATTTCTTCCATGATTAGACCAGAATATCACCATAGATGGTGATAAATTAACTTGCCTAATGGTTACTTGTTAACTTGGATCAAGAATTTATAACTGATATGACTATTTCCAGGCTTGAAAAAGGCATTTCACTTGCGATTTTTGTTTTTGTTTTGTTTTTGAAGGTTTTGTATGGTCTCATTGATGCCTGTTGCAGCCTCTTTATTGATTAACAGTGCAAGCAAGCTTAAATCAGCGATGAATCTCTCTGAGGAATCCAGGTTGATCGTGGGTGAAGGCTGAAAATATGAGCAGAAGAGTTGTAATTAATCATTAATGAGTGATTGCATTTGGCAACGCCACCTCACCATTGAGTTAAACTCGGATTCACGGTAAAAAAGTGAAGAAGAAAGGGTGTCGGCGAATTCTTCCGTGTGTCCGCATTTCATTAATAAAAAAAACTTATTGGAATTTTTGCGGCACGTTAGATGGCGCCTTTTCCCCTGAAGCCTCGCGGAGGAAATAAAATTCGACCTGAAAAATCTTAAAAGGGAGAAAAATCCCGTCCGCAAAAAAAAAAAAAAAAAAAAAAAAAAAAAAAAAAAAAAAAAAAAAAAAAAAANCTTCAATACTCAAAAAAAAAAAAACACGAGCACAACTATTCTACCGTGCTAAGAAAGAACGCCGTAATAAAATGTTTATTTTTTTTTTAAGTTATGAATATTTTCCCTTGAAATTTTCGGATAATTTGGATCTGATTTCGAATACAATTCTCTGAAAATCGGAGGAAAATTATGCACAAATTCCCCTGTCAGGTCATATTTTATCCGAAGAAATTTGGCAACGTCTGAAGGCTGATACGTTGTCCTTCAATAGCACGGCAGAGTGCGGATCTTCAGTTACCTATGGATGAACGAGGAGGGTGGGTGCCTCCACCTACTCCAGTCAGGGGCGATTCTTGCAAGTTGGTTGCACCTTTTTCCCCCATTTAAATGTATATTAAACAATCTATTCTAAATTGAGCAAATTGCCTCGCCTGAATCGATATTCACAATTGATTTAAATGGAGAAAAAACAGTGTTTATGCAGCATATTTTGTGAAATGTATTCAGCCTCTTTGAATTTTTAGTTCAACGACAAAAACCCCCTAGCAAATCAACCCCTTTAAGCTTGGAATGGTTATCTCGTCTTTTCTCATGTATTGCTTTTTCACAAAACTTTTAAACCGTCTCTACTCAAATGTTCATACTCAAAATTTTGGCGTTCAGCCATCAAAATTTGCGCCTCTGTGTTCATAAACAGCCCGTTAGTGTTTTCCTAAATATGTTACTTACGTTTATCTCGTTGACGCTTGCTTGTTGATGCAAATGCCCGTTGTTTTACGTGCGCTGCAGACGCGCTGACCGCTGAGTCGCCTCATTGCTTAAACCCATGAGCGGCGTCAGTGTTACCTATAGACGTTGATTGCAACTACTGTTTACCTACCGAATATTGAAATATTCTGCCGTGATTGCGAAGAGGGCAGTAAGTGCATGCTGGGATGAACCTCGAGTAAGATAAAAGCATGTGCTAACCATGGCTCATACGGATATGCAGTTACTGCTCTCTTTGCTATCACGGCAGTATTTCCGGCCAGATCGCAGTGAAAGTGCATCGAATTACACTTTAGAATTACACTTTAGTCTTACAGCTATTCATAGCTGCCCATGGGGCGAAAAATGAAGAAACAATGGAACGCGTTTATCACGCAGTAGTCTCGATTATTCATTTCCGAATTATTTACGATTTTTCTCGGGTTTTTTTTTTTTTTTTTTTTTTTTTTTTTTTGTTTATTTGCTTTTTTGAGCCGACAGACTGGAGAGTTTGGGGTTCCAACTATTCAGCTTTGGGAAAATTTTTCTTTCCGTTTGTGCAGCGCAAGCTTCTATGAAAAATTTCTCTCATACTGACGTTTGCCAATATACCTTATTATAAGTTAACTTCATTCATTATCATTGGAGTCAATTAAAATATAGCCCTCTCGGTGAGGTAATTTTCCTCGTGGAGTAGCTTCAGGATTATCAAAAAAAAAAAAAAAAAAAAAAATTCGATTATCCACGATATCTCCAGTCCTAATAATTGCGGCTAATCGAGACTCCTCTGTACAACTACACTGTAATTTTTTTAAAAGCTCGAGTTGATTTCGCTCCCATCCCTTTGGTTCTTGCCGGGGAACTTTTCTATAAAGTATTATTATAGTATTGCGTCAGCTACTAGGGGAGGGTGGGAGGTTTGAGCTTACCTAACGAGGTCTTACAAAGGGGAAGGGGGGTTGCTCAGTCTTACTTAAGTTTCCTAATTTTAAAGAAATTATATTCGTCAGTAAAAATAATTTTTTCAGCCATTTTTCAATTTTCCAAAAAAAATGGGGAGGGGTTTACGCCACTTTAACGTAATTCAAAAATCAGGGCGAGGAGTTGCCTTTTGGATGCCTTCCATGGGGGAGGAGGGACAAAAAGTCGGCCAAAATTCGTTACGTAATACTTGAACCGCTCAAAACCTCTTGTGAATTTTACTTTAAATACATGAAAAAACGATTTCTCAAATCAAAAATGTTTTAAGTTTTTTAACCGTTCACACTAGGGATGTCTTCAGAACGGCGGAAAACCGGCAACCGGTTTTAAGGTCCAGGCAATGGGCAACGGCACGTAATACCTGAGCCCCTTAGGGGTATCCCCTTCGGATCGATAATCGAATTGTTATCGAGTGCCCTCAATCGATAGATCCCCATATTAACAATGCAATTTATCGTTCAATATCGATTCAACAATCGACCCGCCAGAGCGCATAGCCAAGTCCCGGCAGGTAAAAAAAGGAACGGACGGTAAAATAAAACGTGGGCACTGACGCGCCAGGTATGCGATGCGGCATGCGTTCCCCGCGGTGGGCGCGCGAGTGCAGCCAGCGTGGTTGCCAGCGATTGGAGTCCCGGTGACTCATCAGTCATCGAACCATCAGCCGGTGCCTCCGCTGACCAATCGCAGCGCAGCACGAACGTCCTTGATCCTCTCCTCTCGATTCATTCAAACTACTAGCGCCGCGTTGTCGTCGCGTCAGGAATTCCTTCCGTTCCACCGGAGAAAGTGCAAGCATCTCGGGGTTTTGTGCGCAGCCGCGGCAACGGTTTCATTCCTTCTCCTCTGTCACGTCTTCGTCACATCACACCTCAGAAGCGGAGCGGAGGTAGCAGTAGCTCGCTAAAGCTGGCTCCCACACATCGACACCAATTACGAGGGAGAACCTAATTTGCGTCACCCGTGACACATATCTCTGTTTCGGAGTCGGAGGCGCGAAAAGGATTTTTTTGTTGTTCCCTGTTTTGACCGCCTCATCCTCATGACTCATGATAGATCACTTATTTAGGGCTTCCATAAACGTCGTCAGAATTCTGAATCAGGGGGAAGGGGGTCAATGGTTGCCTAACGTTAGACTGACTGGGGGAGAGGGGAGGTCAAGCCGACTCTGATGTCAGCTCAAATTGGCGCAGAGCACTCGTTTTTTAGAATTTTCCAGTTGCGTGGCGTGAATTGCAATGTATCGATTGTTATTTCATTTAAACCTATGGTAAAGAATCGATTATTAAGGTGTTCGCTGCGAACACCCTGTTTATCGATCCTTTTCCATAGGTTTATATGGCATAACAATCGATATATCGCAATTCACGCCACGCCACTGGAATATTCTGATCGAAATCGACGCGGGGCATGGTTTCTAGTGAGCGATGGGGGGAGGGGGGGGAGACCAAAATCGGATCTAATTTTTAAGGGAGAATTCAACGCTGCTTGAAATTTACCTTATGTTGGGAGTGGGGTAAAAGAAGAGCCCGACATCATTTGGACTACATTTCGCAATAATGAACCATTATTTCTGGCTCATTTTAGAAACAACATAAATGTCATTGGTTTCCCTCCGCAGAGAGGTGATTTTATGGACGAGCTAGTGATTTCTCATTGCAAAATGTAATCCATTTAGGGACGTCATGAACGCAAGACCTGGTTAGCCAAGAGTTGGACCGCGGAGATGTGTAGGGATGTAGCCTCATGATGAAGCGGACAGTGTACATATGTCTTAGGAATCAGACTCTAGGATTTCTGTTTGGTAGGAGTCCACTGGTAGCGATAGAGAGTCGCGTGTATTACGTAAATCTTGGGCGTACCTCTGACGAGTGCCTAAAGTTCTCCTTCAATATTACGGCTATGCAATACCGCGACAGTAGTGTTTGAATAGTTATCGCTCAAAAAACAGTGGTTAATTGAAGGCGCAGGAAGGTGTTCAATTAGCTTCCTATCCCCTCATATTTCTGAGCTTCAGATTTGAATTCAGATACTTTTTTTCTTCTTCTTGAACTTTACAAAGTACTTAAATTAAGGTATGAACTCTCAGAGGTAATAACTCAAATGCATGTATTACGTGTCATTAGTGTAAGGGACATAGGGACAACTGGAAACGAAAAGAAATCTATATTTTAATATTTTATATAAAACTTTGTTGGCCGTTTAATAGCCGTTTGCCCGAATAGGTCGCCTAGTTCCTAATTGCTCTGAAGTTCAAAATCAACTGCCAGCAGGCCCGCCACAAGGGGGGAGGATACTGGGTCCCTGGTACCCGGGCCCGGGTCACGGAGGGGGCCCGTGTTCCCCGTGAAAAACCACTACGAATTCACATGCAACCCTTGTTTCGTAAGAAAAAGTGAAAATTTCACCCTAAAAAATTCGCAAAAGGTGAATAGATTTTCAGAAACAAGCTGGGGCACTGTATAATTCTTCTTAAATTTTCCAAGAAGTATACTTCTTGGAAAATTTCTATCTATTTTCAAGAGTTTCAGTACAGAGGGTTTTTTTAGTAACTACGTTTCAGTTTCGTCAGGTGCTAAGAGTCTCCAGTCTGGGCATCCTCGACTTCAATGGCTAATGACTCAACTCCCTTGGCATAGACAAACGAAGGGGGAGTTCAGGGGGGCCTGGCCCTCATAGAACTGAAAATAGTATCATATGCTCCCCCCCAAAAAAATAAAAATTTTCCAAATGTTTTGAATGGAACAATTCGCCGATTTTATGCTGAAAGTAGAAAAAAAAAATATAATTATTCCGCAGAAATTGATGGAAAAATTATTTATGGAAGCTTCAAAATGCGTCCGATTAGTCGTATAAATTCTAAAATTTCTCCAGGGATGCGCCTCGGACCCCCCCCCCTTCCGTGCTTGGGGCCCGGACCTTAAAACTGGTACCAGGGCTCGAGATGGGATGTGGCGAGCCTGCATGAAGGCTATTTCCATTTAAATCTTCTGTCACATTCATACGGCGCAATGATACAACTATTTGAACTCTCCGGAATGCGTGAGGTATCACGCCGCATTTGAAGGTGTTTTCAAATCAGCCAAGTTCGATACCCGGATTATCGTTTTGCATAGTTCATATTCTTTTGCTATATTCCGTGCCACTTGTTAATTTTTAATCCTCGTAGAAAAACCACCAAATTGTAAATACAATTCAAGCTGAAGCGCACTTCAGCTATGCATTCACCACTGCAAAAATGTCGAAGGAAATCGACAAGCCCAGCGTGCACGGAGGCTATCTCCATTTAAATCTTCCGTCACATTCTTACGGCGCGATGATACAACTATTTGAACTCTCCGGAACGCGCGAGGTATCACGCCGCATTTGAAGGCGTTTTCAAATCAGCCAAGTTCCGATACCCGGATTATCGTTTTGCATAGTTCATATTCTTTTGCTATATTCCGTGCCACTTGTTAATTTTTAATCCTCGTAGAAAAACCACCAAATTGTAAATACAATTCTAGCTGAATCGCACATCAAGCTATGCATTCACCACTGCAAAAATGTCGAAGGAAATCGACAAGCCCAGCTTGCATGGAGGCTGTCTCCATTTTAATCTTCCGTCACATACTTACGGCGCAATGATACAACTATTTGAACTCTCCGGAATGCGTGAGGTATCACGGCGCATTTGAAAGCATTTTCAAAACAGCCAACTTCCGATATCTGAATAATCGTTTTTCATAGTTCATAGTATTTTGTTTTCATTTCTAACCACTTTTTTATTTATAATCCTCCTATAAAAATTACCCATTTGTTATTTACAATTCTAGCTGGAGCGCACTTCAGCTTGTAAAGCTGAAGTGTAGGCGTTTTTAAAACAGCCAAGTTCCGATACCCGGATTATCGTTTTGCATAGTTCTTATTCTTTTGCTATATTCCGTGCCACTTGTTTATTTTTAATCCTCGTAGAAAAACCACCCATTTGTAAGTACACTTCTAGCTGAAGCGCACTTCAGCTATGCATCCACCACTGCAAAAATTTCAGAGGAAATCGACAAGCCCAGCGTGGATGAAGGCTATTTCAATTGTAATCTTCCGTCGCATTTCTAAGGCGCAATAATACAACTATTTGAACTCTCCGGAATGTGTGAGGTATCACGCCGCATTTGAAGGCGTTTTCAAAACAGCCAAGTTCCGATACCAGGATTATCGTTTTGTATAGTTCATATTCTTTTGTTTATTCCGTGCCACTTTTTTAATTATAATCCTCCTATAAAAACCACCCATTTGCTAAATACATTTCTAGCTGTAGCGCACTTTAGCTATGCATTCACCACTGCAAAAATTTAGAGAAAAAGTTTAGAGAAAAAAGGATGCTTAAATAAAAAGAAAAGTCACTCAAATCAGGCAGAAACTCGCTTTCATTCTGCTATTTTATTCTTGATTCCGAATAAAATCTTCTTGACGGCATACTCAAGAATGTTTCTGCCTAAATCGAGTCACATTTTTCTGTAATAAAATTCAAAAATTATGCTAAACGTTATTAAATGCGGATGCTAGGACTAAAAGAGTTTTTTAGATTACCGCTCTCTTTTTGTGACGTAGTCTCTTGATTTTTTTACAAGGAAAGCTATGTACCCTTAAAAGAAGCTTGCCATTCTTGATACGTTGGAGCGCCTTCAATTTTGTATGATACTGTGCAACAACTGCAACACCTATGTCACGAAATAGTTGCTTGAAACGCCGTAGCACTCCGCGACGCGGCGGGCGACCACGGTGACACGCGCATAGGCGCCTTCAAACCTAATAGGGATACTTCACGCATTGCGCAACGCGTGAAGTATCCCGTTAGGTTTGTAGGCGCCAGTGCGCATTCCGCTCTGTGTTAGGCTCTAATATTTAAACTCGCGGAGTCAGCATTTTTCAACTCATGATTTTGAAATGTTTGCACGCTCTACAAGGATTATTCTCATTTAAATTGATGAAAAAAACAACTATGTATTAGAGGAAATTATAACGTGTGTTTTGAAAATATTAAGGTGGTTCCGTGTCTACTTTAATGATTTCCACAGCACGACAGACACATACATAGACGGCTAAATTACCAAACCACACATCTCTTTAGCTGTGTTTTAGAATCTCCAGTCTTACGTTACTTTTTTGAAGGAAAACTAATCAACATCATTCTTTGAAGTTTTCTTGAAATTTTCCTTGCACAGTGAAGAGAAATTATGGATGTTTTTTAACATTGACATTGATTAGTTCTCCATTTCAAAAAGTAAAGTATAACAGGAAGTCTGCAACGTCGCAAACCAAGATACATGGTTTGGTAGTTTCACCGTCGATTTTTTATCTTACAAACATTGGGAATCAAATGTTTTACCAACAAAACAGTTATGTTTTCAGGGAAAATAGGTTTAAGTGATGCTAATCAAATGAAGAGATTCATAAATTTTCATATATTTTGCTCAAGTTTATAGTACAAAAAATAATAAATACATCATAAAAAAGTGAAAAACGGACGGAAAATATTACACTTGCAGATCTCTTATACATATTAAGTATGCCTTACAATTAATTAACAATAAATTAATTTTTTTAGAATGTACATTTTAAACTTTTTAGGACGGAAATGGATTTCGAAAGAAATTTAGAATATTTTTGGAATACTTGTCAAAAACAGAAGGATCATTTAATCAAATAAAATACAGTACGCAAAGCCTCCATTCAGGCAATGCATTGCACGTTTTTCCTCGGAAAATCACAAAAAGTATGATTACAGAAAAAGACTCGGAGAATGATTTCCAAACGGAAATTGATTGGCAGTTTAAGCCATTTTTAAATAAAACTGACATTATTACTTTTCTGGTAGAGAAAATATAGTGCAAATTTATCAAGATATCAAGCAAAGAGGTTGAGTTGCCAGAATTACTTTTGGTCTCTCCCTCCCACTGATCCGGTAGTTACTTTTGTTACAATTTTTTTTTGGTATCTGAGCAAATTTATTCTTTAGATATGTTTTCATGATTTTTAATGCAAAATTATGAAAAAACATGCAATGAGAAGTCATAATTTGAACCTTGACGATTTGACTAACACTCTCTGAGTGATAAAGGATCTTTTACATTCTGAGAGATACAATTTTAAAATAATAAATTATGTTAATAACAAAATTAATTTTTCTCTGTAAAAGTTTCCTCATACTTTTTCTTACATTTCAAAACATAATTTAACACTTGGATGTCAATGAACAAATTGTCTTGAGGCCACATAAAGCAGCTTTTCATTAAACGCATGTGTGCAAAACAAGTAAATCTACATGGAGAATCCATGCTACATAGACTTAGATGTGTACATGAGTTTAATAAAAATCCGCGGGAGACAAAGAAACAAAATTTTTTTTGAAAAATAAAAACTAACTGCAGAATCCTGCAACTACTGGCTATTACAGATCCAATTGCCTGCGGATTAAAAATTTCCAAAACATGCACACATTATCATGTAATAATGTTCATTGTCGAATTCATTCTGGAATTCAGAGTCTAAGGCCATAATGTACAAAACTAATTCTACAAAGAGGCACTTCAAAATCAATAATGAAATACAGATGTTCATACTGATAAACAAAACATAATTACTGAGAGCGGACTGCTGCCGTCCATACCAAAACGCTTAACTCCAATCACACCAATACATACTATAAATAGTACTATTCTAATCTGTTCCAAAAAATCCTAATCACCATAATGCTTTATTTTTTCAGTTTGAGTTCTTAGCAGTATGACACAATTATTCCTAAAATAGATTATTTCCTTCGGAAAATATACAAGAGTTATGGGAGCCAAGGGTCTCTTTGTTTGTTCTACGATACAACATCTCTTGAGAAAAAAATTGAAAAAATCTAGAATGGAGTTGTGGCGGTTTTGCTTTGAACGGCAGAATGAGGGTCAAATTCAGAAAATAATGGTAAAAACAAAAATAAATAAAAAAAATAAACAAAAAGTACAGTTCTAATGAGGAATGCTTACAATTTTATGGTAAAAAATTAAAAAAATCTATGGATAAATTCAATGCGTCACAATAGTTTGAACTATTTACAAATTAACGTCCAATTAAAAATAAGTGACTTCTCGTACACCTTGATACAAGCTTCACAACCTGAAACTATGCAATTTTCATTATCTTTACACAAAAAGACATCATATAATAAAATATTTTACATACAACGTGCTTAAAGTTAGGAAACAAGGATTTTTTTTATTTTCAAAAAATCTATGATTGACTGTGCGTCACTGTCATCGGTAAATAAAAATCAATACTTAAACAAGTTGCTTTGTACAGTGCTACACCATCATTAAAGTCTTTCTTTTTGATCAACGGCTGAAAAAGTAGCTGCATTAAGAATAACGACAATTATATATTTTAGGGCAAGGATGTCCTTAGTTTCATTTCAAATTACAGGCACTTTCTTAGGTACCAGTAAATGTGATTAAATATGACAATGGACAAAGTGCAAAACCATATTTCTTCTTTGGCGGCGTTGCGAAATTCCTGCCATACTTTCTTTTTCTTTTGAGAAGTAGGCGACATAATTTCTCGAACATTTTTTTTTTATTTTCCTTCTTTGTTAGCAGAATACTCAGTATGATTTTCCAGCTAAAGAGTTTCCTTGTTTCTCTTTGAAAAAATTAAACGGTGGCAGAAATTTTGAAACACCCCAATAGAAATACTTGGTTTTGCGCTTTGCAGCCGCACCCCTTTCAAACTTTCATTAATTTTTTTTGAGGATTTTTAACAAACTGAAATATTGGATCCCAATTTTAAATGATAAACGTCTTCTTAATTTTATTGAGTTCAAAGAGGAGTGCGTAGAGAAGCTCTGAATAGATCCATAAGCTGGAAACTCAAGAGGGGAAAAAGAGAAAAATAATTATTACATTGAAAAAATTTTCTGTTAAGGGTCACAGAGAATTTCTCTGGGAAGCAACAGGAAATCTCCTTATTTCAAACAATATTTTTTAGACTTAGATGATACGTCCTGTTGCTGCTAAGAGTTTCTGTAGATTCAAAGAGAATTTCTGTTGCAGCATATTTAACTGAAACATGTTTCTTAGTATTGCATTAAAACAACCTATTAGAACACCTTTCTCCTAAGACATAAGAGCACTTTTTATTATTCTGGTCCTACTTGAAGCTTATCTAACTGAAAAATACCTCCCACTTAAAATTGAGGACTTCAGTGCGAAAAGGACACATCTCAGTTTCAGAATTCCCTTTTACATTTTTACTCTTCAATGGGAGAAGAAATATTGAAAAAGAAATTGTTGATGGTGACTCTACAGCACAGTACCTGACGAGAGAAGTGCTCTTTTCGATTTCAAGTTCTCACTTGTCAATGCTTCATGAAGTAAACAATACTAATTAACTCCAGATTTCATTTTAAAGATCTACAAACACTGAACATACTCTAGATCTCTTAGTGTATCTCACATTAGAACAAATTTCTGCGAGATGGGCAGTCGATACTGAATACAGAATAATTTAAGATCTTTTTCAGTCTTTTGAAACGTGTCAGAAAAAAGAAAATGAGGGAAAGACAGTAGAATACCTATGGTTAAAAATTAATTGCTTAGTCATACTAAAAAAAAACTATGAACAGGTAAAATACAGAAGCATTGAGTATCAATTCACAGAAGATATCAAAGTGCAGCATGATGTTTAAGTTTTCCTACTGCACTATTGGAATGTTACAAAAAGTTTTATGCTGCACTGGAAAATGCATAACTAAAATAATTTGACTGATAAAAAGCATAGTTTTGTCAAGTTTGCACAACTGTACATTTTGGTTTGCTTGACTGATTCGCACTTTAGCGAAAAATGCTAAGTTCAGCGGTCAAAAAATTTTGGTCCTAAAAATAAAATGAACACTGATCCATACTGCCATGCTGAGGAAAAAGACTGTATGAGCATTCAAGAGTCGCCAAACTTCCTCCAATAAAATGTTGATTTTTTAGTAGAGTTATGGATAAATTACCTTGAAATGATCAGATAATGTAGATCTCACTAAGAATGAAATTCTCTGCGAAATCGTAGGGAAAATATTCACAGATTTCTCTGAAAATTCGTATCTTATCATAGAAAATCTGGAAACGTCTGAGAGTTCATACAACTTATTTCCTAAGCACAGTAGCATAGCCTTCAAACTTGTTCTGTCATGTTACACCTTTCGTTCCAGTGCAGCAATTATATATAAAACACTCCCAAGAAGTGAACTTAACTTTCATTCCATTCATAGGAGTTATATTAATTACTTTTATCCTTCTCTTTGAATGCACTTTTTTGATTCCTTTAATATGGGTGCCATGCGAAGCAAGGCCATACAATATAATTTGCAAAAAATTAACAGGAATCATTGTAAAATTGTCAACTACTATGATAAACTTGGTTGCATTGGTTTAGTCAAATATAAACTGCTTACCAAAATAAAAAACCTTTGATTAAAAAGAAAAGAATCTGGGCACATAATTTGCCTCTTACGCAAAATAAAAAATTTATCTGACCAATTTGTTTTTCTCTCTCTGTCTTCTTACGATCATCTTTTTTTAAGTTTATTTATTTATTTATTTTTTTAAAGTAAATAAGTTTGATGAAAAATTACATTTAATGATGAAGAAAGAGAAAAAGATCGATCAGATGTTATTCCAAAAGTTGCAAAAGCCAAAAACGAGCATTAGTTAAGGCTTAAAAACAACAGAGGTCAATAAAACATATGATAACAAAAAATGCGTTGACTGATCAATCACTTACGGTAACTTAAAATCTGAATCTCAGAATTCAGCAGACCAACCATTTGTAGCAACAGGTTTTAAGTCTCTGTACAGAATCAAGCATGTTTCAAAACACCATCAAGAATCTACACCTGGACAGTTATCATTGTGATATCTTCCTTGAGTTATAAGGATCTGAAAATTTAAATTGACCTACCTAAATGTTACACTTCAATAAATCCAAATAAGAGAAGTGAAAATAAGAAACTTAGCGATAACACTGAGTAATCAGCTCCTCGAGCAGCTCTACTGGCAAAAAGTGCTTGATCACCTGCAACAGAGACAATTTAAGCTGTGTAAAACATTTTTAAATGCAGTAAAATTTTAGGCAGAATGATTGGGAATAGAGAAAATTGTTGAGAAATTCTCAAAAAACACAAAAAATAAATCCTTACTGACAATTTAAGAGCATAAAGAGTTGCTCCTTTCTCGTGAAGTTTGTTCTTTCCTTTCAGTTTAGAGACTTAAAGTTCAATGCTCTATGATTAGATTATTCCGCTTCCCACAATATCTCTAAACGCTGAGAACAAGGGATAATATTCCATTATATTCCATGCATATCTCTTTTTGTAAACATGTAGATTCTGAGGAATTAATAGTAAAAATGTGGATAAAATTCATAAAAAAAAATGCAATAGCTCAGAGGAAAAAAATAAAATCATATTTACCCATTTGGAAAGTGATCGCTGGTGATGACATTCTACCATCACCGCCACTTGAATAAGCTAGGACACGCAAGTAGTATGCTTTGACTGGTGATAGATTCGAGATATATGCTTCTAATTTGTTTCCGATTGGTATCCATGTGTCATTGGCAGTGCTCATATCTTGATCTACCTCCCATACTCTCACCTGCAAAAAAAAACAAAAAATTAATTTAAGATAAAGTTCACGTGAAGAAATATTTACACATAAAAGTCATTTTCGCAACATATCCGGACGCTTTGCTCCGCTGAATCATCAGCCTTGCTTATCTGAAAAAAGGTCGTCTGGCAAGTGGCACTTTCTAACTTCATCTTGAATCACTTGAACGCCACCATTCATAATTTTACAGGGCATCTCCAAAATTTCCTCCCAAGAAGGACCCAAACTTTATGCCTATTTAAGCGACGTGTCATCTACTATTCTTTGAACCTAAGTATATCATACAAGCTGTTCGGTAATGGTTTTATGAACTATTATGTGACTCGGCTTTCATTATTTTGCATACTCACACATTTCTCACATGATCTCTTCTTGAGATTCTGGCTGATCTCAGAAGCCTGGATTCATTACAAGATAAACCCACTTGGTTGCCTTAAGAATCTTTCCTCTGATCCCAAAGAACCCTATTTAACATTGAAATAACTTTTCTTATCTGCAATTCAATATTTTAAGGCTTGATCCATCAATACAAATAGTTTTTGCATGAAAGCTGTAATGGCTGGCTTATGCTTCAAAAATTGTATTTGATATCTTAGCAATTGAAGTGTGAATACTCGTGCAAATACAAAACATGAGATCCATCTGCCTCTCTGACAAAATTTGTTTCTGGCATCTGTGAGTTGAATTGGCACAGATATGGGGATCTCTTGGCTCAGCAAGTTTTTATCGCATGCATTCCATGTTACAAAGCGCAAAGTAATCTGTTAAGACAATGACCATGTCACTGCTAAAAAATATAATTTGCAAATATATCCATACCTTGTAACCCATGACTGGTTCTTCATCTATACTAGGCGCAACATAACGCCATGTGACTTTGATGGTATCTGGATTGACAGGATGGATAGCGACAGAGGAAGGTGGTTTTTGAGGAGCCTTTCGATATGTTCTCTCTGAAAACAAGATACAATTATGAGCAAAAATTGGCTATTTTAAACAGGAAAAAAAAGTTATCCTACAAAATGAAAGATACCAAAGTAAATTCTTCACCAAGCTTTTTGCTTATTAATTTTACAGGATGAGGCTGCCTTAAGTGAGCAAGCACCTGAATGCACTAGTAATTTTTGCCTTAACCCCCATTAATGCTAGTCAAACGTTTTACTGATTTTTAAAGTGAGTACAAGCCCTGCATATGTGCCCAGAATCGGACATTTAACATACAGAAGTCAAAGACTTAAACACCTGTGAATACAGATGAAACTTGTTTAACGATACTGAGAATTGAAAAAGTCAAAATTTATGACAAAAATTGCTTTTAAAATAATAATTTTTTCTTTTATGTTAGCAATTCATTAAAATTACTGCTAGACAAAACAGAGTTGGGTTGGTCACAAGTTCATATTTTCCGTAATAAATGACAAAATATGAAAGATTAAATTAAATAGCCTAAAAATTCATGAAAATATGTGAACACAAACAGAAAGTCACAGTCTCAGAACATGACACTCTTCACTAGGAGACATCATTTATAGATTACAGTTCTTAATTTGACAAATTATTTTTAATTATTACTTCTTTATTTTAGAATGAAAAAAGACATGGTAAATTGCTTCCTGTACTTTAAGACAAATCTTAGCGCTTTCAATTCCTAAAATTTTCACAAATTGGAATTATACAACGGCAAAATTTGTAGAACAAAAATAATGGGTGAACAAATCAAATACATACCAAGAAATCGTTCACTTTCCCATCCTTCACCTGCTCCGTTGTAAGCCATAACTTTGACAAAATAATACGTATCAGGCTGCAAACCAACTATTAATGCCCAGTTTCTGGTCGTTCTGCTTAAGTAATATGTTGATTGATCTTCAGATCTATCTTGTCTCCAGTACTTCAACTAAAAAATAAACATTGAAAATAAAAAATTTAGACATTTGGAATTATATACAAGATTAAAATAAAATCAATAAAAATCTTGAATGCGAGTTTTTGTTAATTTTATTACGGCAGAAAAATTTACATAATTTCAAGCAATATAGAAGTAATAAGAGAGACATGTTGATAGTGGATATCAAATAAAACTTTTCAGCAAACGTTAAAAACAAAACTCCAGTTTTAGTCTTCAACAAACTTATCTCTCTGCAATAAAAAATACTTCTTAATATAAGTATTTGAGTTAGCAAAGAAGTTTCCCTGTTTTCATTGACAAAACATATGACAAAGGTATCTTTGCTTAAGCCTTTTTAATCAGAGCATCTAATCCTACTTTTGTTGGGAAATAATTGCTATGACTCTGGTAATTAAAGTTTCTTGACCTGCAAATGAACCTACAGAGATTATAGGAGATTTGTTTATTAAAGTTTGATTATGAATTTGCAGTTATAAATAGAACATTAATTGGTGGTTTGCGACTCACCCTCCTAAAGAAGAAATGGAAAATTTTCACCATGTTGCCTTCATTTCCTACAGACTACTTGAAGAGAAATGGGATACAATGTTCCAAACAAAGAAGATGCGGGAAAAATTATCAATAAAAATAAGCTGGTATATTATCAAAAGACTCTGTTTTAAGAAAGATCATAATAATACTTAAAAATAGCACTGAAGGCCTGAAAAATCACTACACGAATCAGAATGTAAATATGTCAAAATACATACTCTGTGCCCAATTAATTTTCCACGGATAAGTTCTCGGCGTAAATCAATTGGTTCCCAAGTGACATTCAAAGCAGTAGAGTTGAATGATCTAGCCGACACCTGTTGAGGCGCTACTTGAGGCATGTCTTCAGCGCTGTATATTGTTACTACCTCTGATTCTGGACCATAACCAATTTCATTCACAGCCTAGAAAAACAATATTTTGTCATGAATTACCAACATACAGAGAATGAAAAAAAAAACTAGAAACAAATGAAGATCGAATTCAACTCAAACAAGTTCGACCTTGGATCTCTGTTTGTAACTTCTTCTACAAATGCATTTTCAGGGTCATATTCTCCATAACTCCATCCATCAAAGCTTTCTAGCACCCAGTAGTTGCCATTAGATAGTGCTGCTATCTATCAGCATTTGTAAGAGCTTTGCTCCGATGAATAATGTCTTACCATAGAAATACAGTCATGTAAAAATTGGTTTACATATGAGGCTATCAGAAATTTCTTTGCTCTCGTCATAACAAAGGTGAAATTTTATACTTTTTAGTTTGTTTATTTTTGTCCAATTAATAATGGCTGCATAATTAATTCAGACAATGCAGTTTTTTTTTTTTTTTTTTTTTTTTTTTTTTTTTTTTTTTTTTCATTTTTTTCCCTCCCTTTTTTTCATTTTAGCATTGTTTTATATTTCATTCTATGTCATCGTGAGTTTAGAGAAATTTTATTGGATACGTTTCATATTAAAATATGAAAAGGTTGGCTGAAATGTACATACCTGAACCTTGACATCATATTCAGTGTAGTAAAACTCAGAGGGTATCCTAATGACAGCGACACCAACATTGCCATGATCTTTTAATGCTAGGCTCTGGAATTCTTTTTCACCAACATGTCTTTTCCAAAATACTTTGTAATAAATTCCAGGAGCATTTTGATGTTGTCGACTCAACGGCTAAAATAATGGAAGAGTGAAAATAAAAAATTAATAAATCTAATTACTTTTACCAAATGAATCAGAATCAGACATTTAAACAGGTGATTAACTATAGATTTGTAATACAGATAATTGGCTTACATTACATTAATTGACAAGAAATCAGTTTTTAGTTGTTTTTAAGAGTAAGGGTTAATTTAATTAACTTCCTCATCAAAGTTTTTACAACGGATATCAGCATCGATTTTAAGCATTTCTTCCCTCTTCATTTCTTTGTGTTGCAAAATAAAAGTTTTAAATCGATGGGTAGACATCCCACATGAGGATATTTCTGACAATTTGCTAGATTGTTTATTAGAGTGAGGTTTTCTCATGTCTCTTTCAGGGCAAACCTGCCTGCTGGCAACTTAAAGGAATTTCCTGCGGCTGCAGAAACTTTGAAAAAGGGTGTTACTAACTACACAGATTACATGCTGAGGAGTGATTTTCAGACTTTCTTGATGCGCCCATTAAGATTTTTGTGCGATTTTACCTGCATTTCACTTAGCTGCATCTATTACGTTCAACAGACCCATTAATCCTTTAAAACAGTACTTCCAAAACTTAAAAAAATTACTCACAGTCCAGGCAATAGTCAAATCACCGATCTTGCCACCCGCACCGACGATATTTGAAGGAGCTCTGTAAGGCTTGTCCCCAGGAGTGTTGAACTGAGGAGATGGGGTTGAAAGCGTACCATATCCATATTCGTTTGCTGCCTGGACCCTAAACTCATAGGTGGACCATGGAGCCAAAACATTTTCAATCATTGCTTCTTTCCGACCAGTGTAACGATCGATTTCTTTGGCAGCTACATCTGGAAAATGGAGAGCAATTGTTGAGGCACAAAGAAAAATATTAATGTGAAATATTTCGGCTGAGTGAGTGCAAAACTAATCATTTCAGTCTTCTCAAAATATTTTAACTGCCTACTGATATTATATTGATCAGAGTAAGACTCATCTGATCCAATATCATTGTAAAGAGTTAAAGTTTCTGAACTTAAAAAAAAAGAAGAGAAAAATATTAATAAAAGAGGCAAGACAGAAGCCATTGAATAATGTTGAACGCCGACTAAACAGTGTCTAAAAACTAACACAGATGGATGGATAGGTTCAGTGGAAAACTGAAAAAAACAATAAGAAACAAAATGTTGAAACTTACTTTCAGCAACCAAATACCAAGTGTCATTCCAGTTAGTGCGTCCAACAACAGCATAATGTGTAATCGGTCTTCCATTGCTAGTGCTGTCCGTCCATTGAAGGACAGCTGATGTTTTGATCACCTCCAAAACCAAGACTCCACCTATGGATACACGCAAGAGTCAGATGATAAAAATACATTTTTTTTTAAAAAGATCCAAAAATTTTCCTTATGGATAACATAATATCTGCATGCCACATCACAGCCTGCATGGTGAGAAAGGTCAATGATGCCACTTCAAAGTTTTCAAACTACCTTTCTGAGTCTCATTACGCAAAAGTTATTTTGCTTCCATTCATCATTTGGTTTCACTCTTGTACATGACCGAATATGTCTCTTGAGTGTTAATTTTGAAAATTTTTGGCTCTATGCTATTTTTGACTTCTTTGGAGAGTGAGAAAATTATCCCGCAATGAAGAAATTCTGAGGCTAAGATTATGACTTATTTTTGCTTCTGCATACCTGATTCTAAAACACTTAAAAAGTAAACTTTGTATATAGCATAAGCAAATTTAATTATAATGAAATTATTGCGATTGGAGAAAATAAGAAAAATCACTAAAATGTTACCTGGTGGACCAGGAGGCCCTTCAATTATGATGGAAGTTTTGGAAGCAATTTTACCAACAGGGCTTTTCACGATACATTCATAGTCACCACCTTCTGAAAATGAGGCATTGTAGATGTCCAAAATCCCTCCTTCAGCTCTCTAAAAACGTGCAAGAGGCAATTTGGAATTAAAACAGATCCGAGGAATCAACAAAAATTACTAAATAAATTGTAGGATCAGGGGCCATTCATAAAATACTTAACGCTGAAAATCGCTTTACTTAGGCCTGTAGCGATTGGCCTGCTAATGATTGTTTTTCACAGTTTTGGCGCAATTAAAACCAAGAGAATGTTGAGGTCTCTTGAGAGTTAGTTTTTTGGGAGAAAATAAGCTTGATTTTTTGCTAATATCGAGATTTCTATGAGGAATTTACATACACAATTGAGTGAACAGTGACCATTTTGAGCGGCCTTATTTCCCTTATTTGCCCGATAAGTTTTTCACACCACTCTTCTTGAAAATAAGGAGAAAAAAAGATAACTTAAAATGCCACCCAATACTAAAAGCCACAATATCGTAACGATTTTATTGACATGACTTTATTTTTAAGAACTTTAGCTGTGCAAACTGATTTCTTACTTTGACTTTTTGATAGACTCAAAAATTCAGATTCTACTTGCATTCAAATGTATAATGCGCTCAGGGGAACTGAATACCGAACTTACCAATCTAGGGAAAAACCAATCAGGATCGGAGATATCAGCACCATTGTGAGTCCACGTGTATGAGATGTCCAAAAATTCCTCACTTACAGCTTGGCATCGAAGTTCCAAATTACGCCTGAACGGTAGTACAATTCTAGGAGCCAGTTGCTCAATGAACGTAGAGCTACCTACAAATAGCAATAAAATCAGAGAAATTAGATAGTCTTAGTCAAGCTTGATGTTTCAACTTCACCTTGAAATTTTAGAGAGCACCTCAGAAGGCAAACCTTATTTTTAAGAGCCTGAAAAATCTTCCACCGCTTGTAATTTTATCTAAAATATTCAAAGATAGATTCAATATAAGATCACCTATTCCAAACTAAATCAGAAAATCACACTGTAAAAACGAACTTGAAAATTCAGGATTAGATTTGAGTGCATTTAAAAATTTTACGAGGTATTAAAACCCTGAGGTCAATTTAACTCCGCTTATCATTTACTGATTGACATGACTGATCCATCTATTCTAAATTATAAGTATGATGTTGGATAATCCATGCATGAATTTCCTTTTCCGATAAATCAATAGAATATTGTAAGGGCAACAATTTTCAAATTGCCGAAATCACTCTCTTTGAGTAAAGTAAAATTTAAATGTACTTTATTTTTGAAAGACAAAATAACTTACGAAGAACAATGAGCCTGCCCCAACTTTCATCACTGCCGTACTCATTTTCAGCACGACATACATATAGACCTTCATCGTCTCTTGAAACAGGAGCGATGATGAGGTTTCCATTTTCCATTATTCTCCTGCGTCCACCGGAGCCTAGAAACAAGAAGCAACATTCACAATCAGTTCTAACAGCTCTGAGTAATATGCACATGATACTTTCTTGGTCTTGACACATAAACTTTGAGTACGCGAGGAACTACATATAGGCTGCTTCCTCTCTGCTAAGGTGCCATTTAAGTTTCATAGGAGTATCTCTAAGAGATCAGAAGATATAATTTTTACTCTGAACTTAAACTTGAAGTCTTCACGCATTCCTGAACAAACAGCAAATGATGTTACGTGCATTTGCTCAGATATTAAGCAAAAGCGAACTTTTACATTTATCTACCGTCAGACCCAAAGGCTCACGGCAACATGACAAGAACCATACTGATGGCCAAAGAGGAAAACTATGTATCTCCATTTGCAACACTGAAGATTTCCTGTCAGGCTGAATTTTTTCTTTGGAAAATTTATCAATGTAATTTCTTGAAAATTCGTTTTTCCTTCTTCACACATAATTCTTCACTATTTTAAGTGATAGCTCACCTATCACATTGCCATCCTTTTTCCATGTGAATTTAGGACGAGGAGCAGCTTCTGGGTTACACTTGATTGTGACGTTCCCTCCTTCTCCAGCATAAGTCTCGGCCTCAACTGGTCTTTTCCTAAATGTTGGTTTCAAAGCTAGGAACAGAGAACGTGAATACAAATTAGGATAGTTTGGGGAGGAAGCACGATTTGGTAAAAAGTATATCCTTAAAGTTGGATATTGGATTTAATATTTTAACAAAGAAACACTCAATCCGCAAGATGTAGAATGTGCATTTTACGAGTGCACAGGCTACAAAAGTACACTCTGACGGTTGCATTTCATTAACTTTCAAAGACGAATAAAAGTTTAAAAATAAATGAATAAGACAAATTGATGGGTACATAGATTATAGTGATGCTTTTGAAATATTTGTGATTTTTCACTAATTGGCAAGAAAATTCTGTTCCATTGTCAATTGGAAAAACGTTCTGATATGATGAGCTTAGAAAGCAAAGTTGAGTAAAAGAGGATTCACAAAATGGTTAAATACGATATTTTTTTCACTCTCTCTCTCTTTCCAAAATGCAATGAATCCTAGAGATAAAGAGGTTGGGCAGAAGTAAGAAATGAGGAGAAACAGAAATAACTTTAATGTTACTTACACAGGACACGAAGTTGAGCGGATGAATATCTAGTTTTAAGTTGATTCTGCGCTTGACATTGATACATTCCAGTATCCCTTTCTGCACTCAAGTAACGAATTGTTAAGACATTATCTTGAATAAAGTAACGATCTCTGTCTTCATCTGGCAATTCATCGATAATTAGTGGATCACCATTTCTAAACCAACGATACTGAACATCGGGTATACCAAAAGCTTCGCACGTCCATGTCAGGTCAGCTTTGTTGTCGACGTGTTTGTCAACAAGGGGAATGGTGAAGTTTGGTTCAGCTGAAATATTTCCAAAAGAAAAAAGTAATTTAGGAATTAGTGAGGAACAATAATTCTTACTAGGAAAACGACCTATTCATAATTCTAAAGAACTTTGAATGCAATTTTTGATCACTATCCAACGTCTCATTAATTGATCTAGCGATTACATAAAAGAAAGATAAACTTACAAATCTAGTTCACGTGAAGTACAAAACAAAACATCCTCCTCTCCATTTTGAGAAAGGAAATACACTTAGACTATGTTTAAAATTCATCAGAAATACACCTATGGATGTACTCATAGGGGGCATCTAGTGAAAGGCACTCAACAAACTTTTTTTGAATGATTACTGAAGGCAAAGTATCAGAGCTGCGTTTATGAACTTATTTTGAAAATGATGCTGGGGAACCCATAAGAAAGAAGGGTTTGAATCCTCTCTCCTTAAATCCAATATAGCATCTTAGACAATGCACAAAATAATATGAAAAAAGTCAGCTACATATAGCCAGATAAGTTTACGCACACTATAAAAGTGCAACAGCAGATCATTTGTCTTCAGTTCAATGTTGAAAGTAAATACAAAATTCAAGATGGTGGACCTTTTGTCACACTCTAAAAGAGGATAGACTAATTAGGTATGGACTGTACATGAAAAGGATGTGGTAGGGATGTGTACAGAGAACACATATTTGATGCCCAAAGGGACAAAGATAGTTTGTGTGGAATTTAATGATGTGTACTGCACTGATTTGCAGAGACGAGTTGCCTCCAATCCTACATTGCGATTAGATTTTTGGAGCGAATTCACGACAGTGATTGGGACTAAGTAAGTATAATTACCAGCTGAAATATACATCGGAAATAGTGCCAAAATTTGAAGATAAAAGTACTCACCTTGGATACTGAGAATGACGCTGTTTTGTAGGGCCAATTTTTCGTTGAATGCGTAGCACACATATTCACCTTGATCTTCAACTTGTACTTTGGGGATAATCAAAACACGGTTGAAGTTGGTCAAGTATGATCCACGAGGCAAATGGCTACCCTTTCTTGTCCAATTGTAGGATGGCACAGGACTGGAAGAAAAAAAAATCATATAAATAAAAGATTAAAGAAAAAAAGTTCAAGTCCTCATTAAGAGACAAGTCAGGCTTATCGCAGTGTAGAGAAGTTTTGCATCATTTCTGAGCTACAAATAAATTGCAACAGATTTTGCTCAATCGAAATCCTAAGTAGCTTTTCTTATACAGTGCAAGAAGGCCAAAAATTTTAAAAATTAGATTTCAGAATCGATCTGAGTCACGGACTTTTCTTAAGTTCAAGACTAAATAAGACTTTTAGATAGGTTTTTTTTAGTTCACTTTCAGAGAATGTGTAAAAAATGAGAATTCCTGTATTTTGGGTTTTCCGTTTCATCAAATTGCTCAAAAAAAGACTTACAAAGTCATTAAAAATCCAACCCTGTTTCAAACAAAAAATATCGCGCCAATAGATTTTGTCGTGTCACAAAAAGCATTGATTGCTGTGTATCCTTTCACCTGCACTTGTTGATCTCTCAGATTGCAATTATTGTACTGAGAGGTTATGTATCTCAACCATGCTTACAATATTATTATTGTTTGAAAGAATATTTTCATCAATTTTTTTTCAATGAATCGTGAAAAATAAATTTACTTACTATCCAAAGGCGATACATTCTAAACGCACTTCTTGACCAGCAACAGGAGCCTCAGGGAATGCCTTGGGAAAGTTGTTGGGAAACTTCAGTTGCTGAAAGTTTGCTAAAATAAAAAGAGACAAAATTAGATACTATTGGTTGTCTATTAGTATAATCTTACTATCACTAAAAGCTAATGGCTTACAATTTTTGCAGTTAGTGTCAGACTCTAATATTGAATTGAGAAAGCTTTTCCTCGCAAGCCGTAGTTGGGTGATTAAAATTTTAAAATTCGTTACTCACTTGCAACATAATTTTTATCGAGCAGATGCATTTCGAGCCTGAGTTGCACCAATGATGAGCCGTCCAATTAAAATGCATCTGCCCGATACGTATTACGTTGCAAGTGGGTAATGAATTTTAAAAATTCAATTATCTGATTGTTTATGTGATTATGTGAGTGTCAAACTTTTATTTTTTTACACAGGGTACACAGTGAATCAAAAGACATCTAAAACGCTAGGCCACTGACAATTCTACACCAGAATTTATAATTTGTCAATTGATTCTATAGACCTTCTTGCACTTCTTGTATTGCATTTACATACTAAGTTGGCAGTCCTATCAGTGGCATTAGGACTACTACCCTTGCCAGACTAAACCCTAATTTGAGAACCATATAATTTACACCAATACTCCATCATCTTCCTTCAGTTCACCGCAAGAACTAAAAAAGCTGAAGATGTAATAGCTTTTCTGTTTGATGTTGAACTGGTGTCTAACAGCTGATGTTTTCAGTTTAAACTTCAAAGACTGTTATGAGGTAATAATTGTAAATTATACTTATACTTACAGTGTGGATTGACACGCAAGGGAAAGAAAGGACCGTTTCGACCAGTGTCAGAAACTTTGCTCTGAACATTACAACTGTAATTTCCACTATCAATGTGTTCCAAAGCAGAAAAATACAAGGCACCATCAAAAGAAACAAACACTCTTTTGTCTTCCTCCACAAAATTGGGGAAAGTATCACGAGCCCAATAGTAGTTGACAGCTGAAAATCAAACCAAATTTGTGGGGATAAAGATTTGTTTAAAATGCATATCACTAAGAATTAATATTTCAACCGTAGGCTGTGTGAATAAACAGTTAAAAATGAAAATAGACAGTCCACTGAGCTAGAACTAGATTTCTAGGATAAATCAGTGTGAAGGCAGCCAAGGTTTGAGTAAACATCCGTTGCAAGCCAGCTCTTTTAGATAGACTAAATGCAAAACCTAATTCCAACTTAGTGGCAAGAAAACTTGGGAAGAGGGAATGACCAAATTTCCAATCAGGTGGTTTGCTTCAAGTTATATTTTGGTTGAATGCCTCTTTTTATAGTGGCAAAGTACTTTGACAAAAACTATGGTAGAACAATTTAGGACAGCGACTGTCCAAAAAATTGAGACAGACCTTCACCAAACGTTTCCCTCAATTGCTCAGTGCATTATCATTACATTACCATTAAGAAATTTATATTGATATTGATATATGATGAAGATATTGAAGATATTATGTTAATATAAATACTACTCTAGTGCCAAAAGAGAGCATCATTCAAAAGCAGTTTTTCTGAAGATTTATTACTTACATTCTAAATTCTTTAAAGTACTTGGCCATCTGGATACATTTAAAAAGTGATTTTTCTTTGCCATAAAAGTCAAGTTATGAATTCAAACAAGTTACAATGATTAGGAGGCATCATTAGCTTTTTCTGATGACAGTAAAAAAAGATGTTACTAACCAGGATAGTGCTGAGGAGGATCACAGTACACGCTTTTACCCCAGTTTTGATTCCCACTTTCCTGGGACCGTTTCAGGTTGAATTCACCGATGAAACCGAAAGAGAGCTGAACACTTTCTGATTTAATGGTACCAAATTTGTTTGTGGCTTTGCAATGATAGGTGCCTCGATCAGCGACCTGTAAAAATAAAAGCTTGATATAGTCTCCTTGATTACACAACACTCCACTATTTTAATTTGACCATAAAAAAATGACATTTTTCTATTTTAGGATGGAAAGAAACTTAGCTGACATTAAGAATGTTCTCTAAGGATATTACATTCAAAACTCATCGAAGTTTTTCCTGAAACTGTAAAAATAAAGAGAGGCAAGAAACATTACTGTCACTTACTTCTCATGAACTGCCCAGCTTGGGTGCGGAAGCTTCGTCATTTTCACATGCCTGCTTGCTGACTTTCTGCATTTCTCTTGTCACAAAAGCTCCCACTAGTTTCAAAAGTTATGAATTTTTCCTGCTTTTTTCCTTGAACTACTGACCCTTAAAAATTATTCCTCCTTCCACAGTTTTAGGGCTTTTTCAAATTTTCACGCACCTACCTGGACACATGATGGAACATTTTCTACACCCTTTCTGGCCCAATGTGAAATAAAATTTGAGAAATCAAGAATCAAAACAAAAGCGAGGCTTGCTCGAAGTATGTTTCAGTATTAAATTATGAGATTTGATGATGTATGCGGTGACTAGTTAATGTAGAGAATGATTGAAACAACCAAGTAAAGTCCAAGTAGAGAAGTTCTGAAAGTTATACACTTTATATATAAGCATTCTAAGTTATGCAATATTGACTAATTGTTACAAAATACTATAATGAAGAATCTGAAAAAAAAAATAAGAATGGTCTTGTGACTATAAGCTGAATTCTTACCTGATCAGGATTATTTATGATCAATGTTCCACCACTTAATGTTAAGCGTGATTCTTTCAAAGGATTGATTTTCTTTGCCACCAAGCGATCATTTTCATACTCTTCTTTGAACCACTCATACGTTGGAGCAGGGTATCCACCAGCTGAGCATCTATTCACAAAAAATAAAATAGAATAAAATAAATTGCAAAATTCATACACTCTGAGGGAGACAAATATTTTGATTTTGACAATGTGGAACTGATTGGCAGTGTGTTTTTATCTCTAATTACTACCTCAAAAATAGTTTTACAGTAGGAAAAATTTGACACTAATACCTCCTTACTTGGCACAGTAGTATCTCATGTGGTCAGTTGAATTTAATATATTTCTTTGCCAAATACAAACATAATATAGTGCTATTTTTATTATTGCAGTGATGGAACTATCTTTTGGTTGTTAAAATGTAAAGCGATTTGAGCACGTAAAAATTATTTCTGTTAAAATTAGAGCATAATATTCCATTATGACTAAGTGTCACTATTATCTTTTTATAAAAATCAGTTAGTAAATTGATTGGAACAAACCTCAAATACACATCATTGGTGATTTTTCGTTTTGTGAGATCAAAGACGATATCAACAGGTTGCTTGATGAAATACGGCCCTCGAGGGATTTCCTCTAAGTTTTTGATATCCAGCCCATATTCATGAGTACGGTCATCTACAACTAGATAATGAAGTTTGTTGGCAGGAGCTTCACAGATGTACAACAGCATTTCATCACCCTTTACTTTTTCGAATCCCCACCGTTTCAGTTGATTTGAGAAACTGCAGAAGAGACAATAGCGTTAGAACAAAAATTGGTTAACTTGTTAAAAAACTGAAAAAACTAGAATGCAGACTTACTTACCACTGATTAATATACACTTCCCACACAGCTCCAGTAATCATTTCGGACTTCAAAAATCATGAGTGTTTCCAGTGGTTCCGATTTTTAAATCAACTGACTGTTGATTTTTTACATGAACTTTGCTTATGCATGACTCAAACTGACAACATAATGTTTTGGTCGCACTAACCAGTTCTGAATTTGCTGTTAGAATTTTATACAGACACAAATTAAAAGCCAAGGATGACAAACCAGCTGACCTTATAATGGGGATTGGGGCTTGAGCTGTTATGGAATTTTATTCCAAATGTAATTCATGAGGTGCAAAATCTGCCTAATTATACAATTTGTGAAAAAAATGTTGGTGAGAGGAGGAAATTTTTGTCGAAAACAACACAAAAAAAATTTCGACAATTTATCAATTCTTCAGGAAACGTTGTAAGCACCTTCAAAAGTGAAAGAAAAAAAAAGTTCATCACTTCAAAAAATTTCGAAAAGAGAGAAAATTTTCCGGAAGGGAGTGAGGAAAAAATCCTGGATTGCGTGAAACCTTCGGTCCAATGACATTTTTTCCACCCTTAATTCATCTCCTTAATTCATGTGATTCATGGTCTCACCGTTGATGCATCTCGATATGACCCTTCTTTGTACAAACCCCCAGTGAGAGTTAAGAAAAATTGACCTGAAATAACAATAACGACTCACCTGTACACTAGGAATTCTTTGTCATAAGATGACTCCTGTTCTGGTAAAAATGCGGCATCCATGTCTGATAGTTGAGTGCCATCCTCATTTACCCAGTATCCTGGGCTTGCTTGTCTCAAGCCTGTATACCAGCGTCTATGTTGTGGATCTTGCCACAGAAGCTGGTAGATAATGAATCCGTGCTCCTCAGCATTGTTTATGTTAATCAGTTCGGATTCATACGCCTGATGGACAAAAACGTAGGAATTATTAAGCAAGCTTTGTTATTTAAAAATTGGCAATGAGGTCATGTTACGTATGAGATTTTATAATCACTAGAGACCAAAAAAACGTCTTGGTACTGGCATCTGTTTTTTTTCTGGTCAATTTGTAAGTGGTATACCTCAGGTAGTAAGGGAGTGGAAGAGGAGGCTGAGGGCAATGGCGATTGGGCGTCGCAGAGCGCGTGGCTGCGCTATAAAAGCGGATTAATGTATGTATACTTGAGATAAGGAAAGAAAGAATACTTAGTAGTAAATCAATTGTTCATACTTGCATAAGTAATTGAAACTTATTCTGCAATGTTTGTGAAAACTAATTTTTAATTCCAGTCATGGGTAAGAAAGAGACTTTTGATTCACTTCTGAAAAATGAAAACTTTCAGCCTTATTCTTTGATGTGAATATCTCATTTTGGTTTGGTTCTTTTCATACCCACATGTTGCGCAATTTTTGCAACAGAATATGTCTGAGCAAAATATTAAAAAAGAAGGATTCAACCATACACAACCTTTTTTAATCCATAAGAGGCATTCGCTGAAAACGTCTAAATAGTATAGTACTTACAAGGCAATTCCTGCGAGCATCATTGCGATTGCGCAGCGGAGATTTTATGAACCGATAGCAAGATCTTTGAAACTGAATCCAATGCTGAGGGCACTGAAGATCCATTTCTCTCTCCTCCAGCTGAGCCCAGACAGCAGGGGTCAATAGGAGGGCCCACAAAAAAATCATGCTGAAAAGAAAAAGAAATTACTTAAAGTGTATAATTGCACCCAACAGTAAAACAGAACAATTCCTACAGATACAAATTCAAAGCATGAAACCACTTTGGTGGCCATCAGCACACTAGAAAACAATCATGCCTACTAAGCCAGTGGGCAGTATGTACTAAGTGTTTAAGGTTAATGCAATATACCTACATAGAATGCAAGGATATGGTGGAGTTCCCAAGTTGCAGCGCAACTGTAATTCTTGATCGCTCAATAAAAAATGCCCAAGTCTCCTGTTTCTACTCACCAACAACCGATGATAGTCTTCAGACCATGAAAATTTTAAAAATAAACACTCTGTTCCTTCCCTAAAATGACCAATGTATACCTCTATAATTCCTTCTGATTTGAACCATCTCCTTCACAACATGGAAACAATTGCTGAAAAATAAGTTTTCTTAAAATGGGTTAAATTATGAGTTGCCCAAAAACCTAACTTTTCAAATCTTGCATTGACTACAGAGTCAACGTAGTGGGAGCACCATTCCCTTCCAATAAGCTTTGACTCCTTCCAGGACTAACAATGATAGCGGGTCATACCCTGAGTAACGACATGAGGCAGAACTGACCCTGCGGAGTGGAACAAATGCTGTAATTTTACTAAGATGGCACAGCCGCTGTATTTTATATAGTTGGCACAATCACAAATGAGATCTCAAGTGCCTCTACATGAGCATGAGATCTGTTAAAATGAATAAAATATCAGTAAAGTACATGAAAAATCACATCCTCCAATGCGCGGTTACCTACAGTACAGTCGCAAGGGTAGAATTTGGTCCGTTCAAACAACTCTTCCACCAATTAGTGGCAGAGAGAAATAGTCAAATGTTTTGTGGTGAAAATATTACGGAATAAATTTAAAAAGGCCATGGTTATGATGACAAGAAAATAAGCTCCTCAGGAACCAACTGACAAAATTCAAACATAACATTCCTTGGTCACCATTAACATTGATGTACATTCAATGGGAATTATGATTATTCCTAGGAGCGTAGGCATAAACACTTTTAAAAATTGTGAGAAGACGAGAACACTGGGACACAAAAACACTTGGGAAGCAATAATGATTCACTCAACATTCTTGTGTTTAAAGGGAATGATATCCAGCCTGGCCAACGCCTTTTTTGCTTTTACATCTAACGAAGAGATACTTGAGGGAAAGAGAGGCAAATTAATCTTGCTTGGGAAAACTACTTACTCGGCAGTGGATTTAACACATCAACACACTTTTTTATAAATTATAACATAGCAAAATAAGGAAAATTTGTTTAAAAATTTGACAAGATCAACGACATCGACCATCGACATTTACAAAACATCTCGATCATCCGTCAACACAAAAACTACAGCCGAGACACACCAAAAACCGCTGCCAACGTTTGTATTCTTCTTGGCGGCAATTTTAAAAAATACCTAGCGCGGTCGCAAGTGCAACACGAATAATAAGACTTGGTTGCAATGATGAAGCGTCTACACTGCATTTTTTTCCACATATTTGGCTTAAAAATCTTATTGGTAAGAAGTTATCCCGTGTTTTACAATTTTCCTCGGAGAGACCCCTAAGGGTTCCTCTAGAAGCTGGGGAAGTCCCACCGACTTCCCTTGATAACGTGCCTCTCTGCCCCCCCCCCCCCCCCCCCCNAAGATCCCATTTCTGTCCCTGGTTCCTATATAAAATACTGACAATTTTACTATCCCTAAGTTTATGGAGATATTTTTGGGTAAAATGAAACTGCATGTTCGAACACGGAAGCAAAAGTTTTATCAGCCTCGGAGAGGAACTGTGAAGAGAGAACCGTGGGCCACGGTTCTCTCTTCACAGTGAAATAAATCAATCAATTTAAATGAGAATAATCAATGCAGAGTGTGGAAACATTTCAAAATCATGAGTTAAAAAACGCTGACTATGCGAGTATAAATATTAAAGCCTAACAGAGCGGAGCGGCGTGCTGCCAGAGCGAGAGGCTCACTGACGCCTACAAACCTAAGTGGATACTTCACGCATTGCAGAATGCTTGAAGTATCCATTTAGGTTTGTAGGCGCCAACCGTGGCGATTCTTGCAAGTCGGCAACTCCGTATTTCCGCCATATTGACGGTATTTAACTCCCAAATCACGTAGGTACCTCATTTGCTGTGTTTTAAAACCTCCGCTCCTATTTAATTATTTTTATTGAAAAAAAATCGACATCATTAAAAATCACGGCGGTTTTAAGGACTTCTTGCCGTGGAGTAGTTTTAAATTAAAAGATACCTAAAGTGTGACAGGACTTCTGCATGCAACGTCGCAAATAACTGCTCAACGACAATTCCTAATACTTCCTTAATTGTTCTTCTTGGTGCGTGGACAATTTCTGTAAAACTTCAAGGGATGATGCGTCTATTTGTTCTTCTTTCAAAAAATAAAATGAGGTCGGAGATTTTTAGACACAGCGAACGAGAGACGAGGTCTGGAAGTTTCAAAGTCGACTTGTTGAAAATGTGCGAAAACAAATATGTCGGGATGCGCGCTCGAACATTTTTCTTGAAGTATCCGCGAAACATCTCTGCCTTATTCGTCGTTCTTAAGAGAGTAGCTTCCATTTCACGAGGGTTTCGTTATAATACATTCCAGCAAATCAAAGCATTATTCGGAAGATTCGTAATTTCCCGAGCCACATCAGTAATAATTCACTTCATCGGCACAAATAGACAACGCTAAAATTAAGATACGATGTTTGCTAAACGAGCAAAGTGCCCTCAAGTAACATTACATAGGTACGACGAACACACTACTACTACCCTGGTAAAAATTGGCAGTAGAATTTGTGTTCCAAAATACCATAGACCTAAAGCCGGCTTTAAGATTTCCAATAGCTTCTGTAGCCGGCTGTACAATTTCTTATAGCTTTTTATAGCCGATGGCGATTAAGCAACAGCCAGACGATAAATTTTATGCTAAACGTTACTAAATACGGATACTAGGACTTCGTTAGTTTTTGGACTGCCGCTCTCTTTTTGTGCCGTGGTATCTTGATTTATTTTGCGAGGAAAGCTCCGTACTTCTGAAGGATGCCTGTCATTCTTAATATGTTGGAGCGCCTTCAGTTTCTTATAATACTGTGCCATACCTCTGGTGTGAAATAGTTGCTTCAGACGCCGTGGCACGCTGCGGCGCGGCGCGGCGCGGCGGGCGGGCAGAGAGCGCGAAACGCGCATTGGCGCCTACAAACCTAACAGGGATACTTCACGCATTGCGCAATGCGTGAAGTATCCCTGTTAGCTTTGTAGGCGCCAATGCGTCGCCGCTCCGCTTAGTGTTAGGCTCTAATATTTAATCTCGCGGAGTCAGCATTTTTCAACTCATGATTTTGCAATGTTTGCACACTCTGTATGGATTATTCTCATTTTAATTGATGAAAAAAAAAAATATGTTTTAAAGAAAAATATAATGTGTGTTTTGTAAATATTAAGGTAGTTCTACACAATTTCTTATAGCCTTTTATAGCCAATGGCGATAAAGTGTAAAGCCCGGCGATAGGAACTGTAACTCGACTGTATACTTTTTTATAGCTTCAAACAGCCCGGCTATATGATTTGCTCCGCTTTCTACAGCCAGCTATATGATTTTCAATAGCCTTCTTTTGTCGGCTATAAGAACTCCTATGGTATTTTGAAACGCAGCTCCTATCGCCAATTTTTACCAGCTCTTAGAGCCAGCTCTTACCAGCCCTAAGATGCAACTTTTCGAGCTCCATAGATGTCCGTGTTGCATATGCACGGAGTTGAAGGCGTTCTGATTATCCGTGCATTCGCCTCCTTCAGTTCCGACTTGCAAAACTAGCGAGAGCGAGTGAGGAGAAGATTTTGGTTGGTCCTAAAGGGTAAACATTTCAATTCTCCTCATATCATGATTACAGTTTCAGCCTATAAAAACTGATCCAAAAAAATATGATGAAACATAATATACCTACCGATACCCTGAAACTCTAACACCCTGGAATGGACGTCTTCGCCTCACCCTGCGCAATCCAGAATTTAAAAGAGAACGATTTCCATACTCGTGTACGCGTCTTAGTAATCAGCCGTGACAAGTTCCAGGAGTTGCACTGGCATTTTTGCACCTCAAATCTCAATCAGATACGTAACTGTGCGCAGCACAATTGCGATAAGCACGCGGAATAGCCCAAAAAACCATGCTCCTTGTGATATCGGAAGTGTGACTGTGAAATGGACCGAACGCGGCGGGGCACCAAAAAAATGTGTTGCCGCTTTTCAAATTTGAACGCTCCGCTGAAAGACGGTCGGTGGCCCTGCAAGAGACAATCCCTCATTTCCGCAGGAGCGAGCTCTGGGTTAAAAAATGTGGCTACCGCCACTCATGATAATACCTCTCGAATCCTGAGGTTCGAAAAAAGTTCGAATTTTCAATGCTACGCGGGGCAGAGAATCAATTGTGGAGGTAACTTTTAAATTTATTCTGAAAATTTGTTTACAACCAACAATACCTCAATATTCTTTTTAAAGCTGTCAATTAAAGATCTACGCAGCGAGGGCTTCATACTGTTTTGTTTACTTTGCAAAGAAAATAGCTGGAGGTCATTTCAAAAATCATTAAAAAAATGATCATTTCGCCCTCGCCAAAAAATAAATATACGAACAAATGTGTTTTTTCTCCTCTTCTCATCGTCTTCCTCTCCATCCTCCTCCTCCTCCTCCTCATCCTCCTCCTCCTCCTCCTCATCTCGTCCTTCTTTTTCTTCGTCTTCTTTGTTTCTCTCATTTCATAATGTTTTTTGTGGGCTAAAACTCAACTTTTTATAACCAATACAAATGATTTTATCTCCTGGGTTAACCACAAGGGTGGTTTCAAGATAACTGGAATAGTTTTGTCGCCGTAACAGACAAAACATTTTTCGGTCATATTTTTAGTAATAATGGTAATCACTCGAATTTTTTGCATTAATCTACACAAGGTCACACGTTATGGCGCTCTTCAATGATTTATCGCTCTACTTTTCAATTTTAATGTATAAATGGCCTAAAATGTGCTGTCTATTACGCTGACTTTTTACCGCGTAACATACAGCACATTTTCGGAATTTACAGAATATTAATTGAGAAGTAGAGCAATAAATCATTAGAAAGCGTTATAAAACGTGACCCTTTGAAAATTAATGCAAAAAAAATTTGAGTGATATCATTACTACTAAAAATATGACCGAAAAATGTGTTGCCTGTTACGGCGACATAACTATTCCAGTGTTCGTGAAACCACCCATATATTTTTATAAGCAAGGGCGGAACTAGCGCCCCCCCCCCCATTCAGCAAGTGGGAAGGGAAGAGAGATCCTGACGCGGATGGAGGGAGGGGTAAAAAAATCGGGGGAAATATACCCGACGAATTGTCTCTAAATTAAGTTGGATTTTCAAAGAAAATTAGCAACTCTGTGCCATGCTTTTTTCGCAACAAGCTTTCAATAGAGCTCACTGTTCCCCAATTTAGCAGTCAAATTCCGCCTCGAATTCAAGATGGAGCGAAGACTTTACGTTGTGCTTGTTTTGTCCGTTAGTGCCATCAGTGCAGCGGATATTGAGGTCACTCTGCCGAAGGGGAAGATCGTGGGTCGAGATGGGATCAAGACTCGTGGGGGCCGGAACATCTGTAGCTTCACCGGAATACCCTACGCTGAGCCGCCTATCTACCAGCATCGGTTTCAGGTCTGTACCGTCCCGCGAAACAGCCAATTTCAATTTTTTGTGACGGAAAGAGATTATGTTACTTTTTCCTTAAAATTTGGATTTTGGTAATTTTTAACAAAAAATTTTTCCCCTGAAAATCTTAATCTGTAATATATAATCAGAGTAACATGTAACGTGCACAACGCCTGAGGCGCGAAGCGCTGCGGGAGATAGTGCTGCGATGCTATCAGGGGGTATACCATACCCCTAGTAAAAAAGTGAAAAAAAAAAGAAAATGAAGAAAAATAAGAAAAAAAGAAGATTATAGAAATTTTTTTCGAAAAAAAGCGCCGCAACACCAGTTTAAACTTTTACGAGCCATGATGAACGTACCTAACGTAATTTATAAGCGTTTAGCTCTTTTAAACGCTTCTTATTCTATCAAATGTAGCTATACGAGTGATGTATCCACGTCTGGATTTATTGCTAAATTTTGCTGTTGCTGGGCTTTAAAATCAACAGAATACGTTAGGTACTTTTCAAATGTTTACATCGTGTAGAATTTTAGGTATTTATAGTATTTAAACGTCTACCCTCTTTCATTCTGCAGAATGTCTGTATAATTAAAAAAATAGTGTATCTTTCGGTGTGACAGAAGTACATGCCATTTTTGACACGGGTGATCTACGAGACCGTCTTTTGTAAACTTGGGAAGTATTAAAACAATAAATTTTCTGTGTCATTTAATTTTTTTTATTTACAGTAGAGTCTCGATTATCCGCGATTCGGATTATCCGCGGTCTGTGAAGCGGAATTTTTTTTTTTACTTTTTCTATTTCTTTTGAAAGCGACCAGGACCGAACGGAGAACTTTGGGGTCATTCCTCTCCTCCTGATTGATTCTTAGTTAATAATTATATTCTTTTCTAATGCATGGTATGTGTCTTTACTGCCTCCTTTAAAATAGGTACAGTCTTTACGATGACTTTTTCCGGCCGTCTTGCGTAGATTCGGATTATCCGCGATTTTCGATTATCCGCGGTATCTCCTGTCCCAATTATCGCGGATAATCGAGACTCCACTGTATCTACTCAGTTTTTTGTTTATTTTTTATTTCAATTCATGTTTGATGATCCGTGGATCTCTAGGAACCAGTGCCAAAACAGCCATGGAGAGGCATTTTAAACGCTACTTCGCACGGCCGGCAGTGCCCCCAGAAAAATGTTTACTCCCTGGGTAAGAAGCATGAAACGGTGGGGAGCGAGGATTGCTTACATCTCAACGTATTTACACCGGAGGTAGGTATAATATGTCTATTCCCAGTGATAATCAAATTGATAAACACTTTTAATCGATTGTCACAATACAACCACAACGGGCTTCGTGTGGCATCTTAATGTCCTGAAAGCATGAAACAGTGTTGCTAGACGCTAGATGTATATTTTGATTGCATTCCACGAAGAAGAACTAATATTTCTGACTCATTATAGATAAATCATATGCAATTGCACTTATTGACGGTGTGAGTCGGCAATCGCTTAACTCGGTTTGCGATGTCGCAGACTCCCTACCGTACTTTATTTTTTAAACGGAAAACTACTCAACAGCAATTCTTCAAAACTGCCGTGATTTTTCTTCTCTGTCCGAAGAAAATTCTGCAAAAACTTCAAGGAATAATGTCAATTTGTTCGCCTTCAAAAAAATAACATAAAGGCGGAGATTTTCAGACACCGCAAACGAGATATGCGGTTGCGGACGTACGCCGTCGTTATAATTTTTCTAGGTATTTGCATGGATGAGTTAGAAGTAGTAGTTCCTCATTGCACAATGCCAGCTACAAAGTTACATTACTTCAGCGTTTTTGAATGACGAGTCGCACACATTATTCCACCCTGAGCAAAGAAAAATCCAAAGCTCCTTCATTTTCATCTGTATGCAACATGTACATCCATAGAGCATCACTAGTTACATCATGGCGTTGTCATAATATTCACTGACATAGAAATACTATCCTGCTTATTTCAGTTGCATACTTTGTACGCTTTAAAGCTTTCTATTGACATTGAGAAATGTGCTTTAACATGTCGTCAACCTGCGGCCAGAGTATCACAAGCGCCATGTCATGCTTCAAAATTTCCGCCGCCATTTTATTATTCTTTCACAGAGAAATTGTAGGCTGAATCTGTTTGAAAATTTCACTGAATTTTATCGGTAGCACAAAGAAAATTCAGTGAAATTTTCGGACAGCTTCATTGAACAATTTCTCTGTAAAAAAATAAAATAGCGGCGTAAATTTTTAAACGTCGTATGGTGCTTGTGATACTTGGCCGGAAGGTGACGACGTGATGTACCCACAAGTGATTGGCGTTTCTTGCCCGAGCTGCACGCTACATAATCTTACCTCGCCTTTTCCATCATTCCAAACAATCTTAAATTGCAGATCAATGCTGGAGCAAGTATGCCAGTAATGGTCTACATTCATGGAGGAAGCTATCAACAAGGCTCAAATTACAGATATATCTACGGTCCCGAATACATCTTAGATAAAGATATCGTATTGGTTACAATCAATTATAGACTGGCAGCTTTAGGTAAGTGGAAGCACCTGTTCGTTGTTGATTATAGTTATAGTATAGATTATAGAAAGTTGATATAGTAAAGTGACGGCGAACAGATCTAAGTTCATCGGAAACAGAAAATGCGACGAATAACGTACCTACACCTCTGGTAGGTACCCAGGGCCGGATTAACGCTCAGATGCCAAGGATTCCGGCGGGCACGAGGGGCTTGCATACGTGCGGATTGCATACTTCCTAAACTGAAGGGAGTTTACGTTTCCCAAACACAACGAATAGTCCATTTTTCCCGGCCCCGCAGCCCCCGCCGACATGTTAAGCCAAGGACTTTAAAACTTGTTCAATTTGATCCAATGCCCTCATTAATTTAACTTACTCACGAATAACATATACATAGAATTAGCTACAGATGTCGTGTTTTCGTATTTTTTTTAAAATCTTCGTTTCCCAAATTTAGGAGTACAGCGCACGAGTGACGCAATTCTAAGGAAAAGGGAGGACAGCGGGTCAATCGTTGAATTGCAATTAAATGACTTTATCGGTAAATCCGTATCATAGCAATGTCATTTATCGATTAAGGTCATACATCGATAATGCAATAATTCTGTCGTGCTAAGGAAAGACGCCGCATGAGCCTGTAGGCATTGCCAAATTTCTCCTGGCAAATCAAGACATTTTTTGAATATTTGTCTACCAATTTCTCAGATAATTTTGTTTGTAATTTGATCTAAAACTCCTGTAAATTTCAGGGAAAAATATTCACAATTTTCTTCAAAAATAAACATTTTATCGAAGGAAATTTGGCAAATCTCGAATGTTCATCCGGCGTTCTTCCTTAGCGTGGCAGAATTTAGGATCATGACGATTGCGCAACAGAGGAAGGGCAAGAACTCCAAAAATCTAAATCCAAGCGTGATGCAAGGGCTCCAAAATTGTTTCATTCGGGTGGTTGCACGTAAAAATTTAATCAGCCTTATTTATCGAAAGCGAGAGCAACGAGTTACAAGTTCATATTCTGTAATTGCAGGATTTTTAAGCCTCGGTGACGAGGTTTTTCCTGGAAATCTGGGCTTGAAAGATCAAGCATTGGCGCTGGAATGGATCAATGAAAATATCAAATTTTTCGGCGGGAACCCGGATTTGGTCACTATTTTCGGGGACAGCGCGGGAGGAGCCAGCACCAGCCTCCACATGTTCTCACCCCTCAGCAAAGGTCAGTGGCTAAATCTTTCAGACAACTGATTAGTGATTGAGTCATGTTTGAATGGTTGAAAATTGAAAGGTTTGGAGGACAAGGCGCAAAGGTGCAGTTTTTTTTTTTTGGGGGGGAAAAAAAAAAAAAAAAAAAAACTGAAATACTAATGATTTCAAGTAAAACTACCTAGACTTAATGCATTTTTGTAAAAAAATTCGCTTCAAAATTCCAAATTTTAAGCATCAAAAAGGCAGTTTTAACTTTCTTTCCGCTCCAAGGATCCATGTGATTCCAAAACCTTGAACACGCATTTCTCGAAATAGCAAAAACGGCACTTATCCTTCTTGTCCTCCAAGCCCCTCAATTCCAGTTTAGTAGCAAAATAGGAGAGTGAGGGAGGAGAGGAAGGGGGCAAGATCGGTCAAAACGTCAAGTTATTACGTCCGGTACCAAAGGAAGTGCCGCCGCCTTTCAAAAAACATGACATTTTCTGCGTTTTAAATGCATTATTGATGGACGCATTCAAGGTAGAAGAAACCTTGCAGATAATTCAGCTAACGGATGACGTTGATAAGTCGCAATTTCAATATTTTGAAATATGCGCACGAAGATGCTAAAAAACGCTCAAGGCCTACCTAGTCAATTAGTGTCATGCAAAGGTAGCAATGCCCTCTTAAAAACAGTTTTTAAAAACTCTTAAGAATTTGTTAAAAAATTAATTTTCTGGAAACTCTTTTGGATTATTTTTTATGTATACTTTATTAGTGGTGCTTAAAATTTACTCAATATGAAGTCTAGAAAAAAATTACTACTTTTTTGAGCGATGTTTAAGATTTTTTTTTTCGAGCTCACGCAAGGTGTTAAAAAACTGCACGCAGAAGATCCTCAAATAGTTTGTTTAACACTTGTTACAGAATTGTCACTTTTCGTAGATTTTATCTTATCAAATTTCCAGAGGAGAGTTTCCTAAGCCATTTTGAACAGTTTTTTTCAAGATTTGTCTTTTAAAACTTTATGAGTTTTTTAAAAGCGTTTAATCTTTACAGTCGTTGCCACCGGAGTAGCCCTCCTATTCTGATATTCCTTCTGTTAAATCGTTCGTACAAATACCGGGTTTTGATTTTGTGTTTCGAAGGTTTATTCCATCGGGCGATCTCAATGAGTGGGACAGCGCTATGCCCGTGGGCTGTGATCCCTCAACCTTTGGCAAAAGACAGAGGGAGAGCATTTTTAACCCTTTTAGGATGCCCCACCGAACCTTCCACAAAAGCGCTTGAATGCCTCCAAAACACACCACTCGAAGCTATCATGAACGTTCAGCTCAAATTTTACGTGAGTCTCTCGTCTTTTGATTGATTCCTTTTTTGTCATTGATCAATAGTCGATTTGATCGAGGATTGAATAAATGCGAAACTACTACTTGTAAACCAGACAAAACAGACCTGTTCTAGCACATAATGAGCCAATGACCGTCGACTACACGAAACAAAATAGATTGCCGATTTAACAGTTAAATTGTTTAAAAAAAAAGTGACAAACACACGGCCGGATTAAGGGGGTGGACACATAGGCCATGGCCCATGGCGGCAAATCCAGGGGGCGGCAAATTTTGCAATTTTTTTAAATGTAGGTATAAAAAAAAACGGATTTAGAAAAAAAAATTACAAACGAGAAAAACAAAATCTCTTATTTCCTGAGAATATAGTAATTTCTAATTTTGTCCTCTTTCAGTGATACAAGAGACAGCACCTTTAATTAGTCGAGTTAAGAGAGAGATCAAACGCGCAATTTGGCCTGGAACGGCGCGACTGAGAGAGAAATGATGACGAGGACTTGAGATGAATAGGAGAAGCCCTCGGCGCGGCGCTGTCGGCATGTAACACATATTAGCGCCTACAAGACTGCACGAATACTTCACGCATTGCATCTAACACAGTGCGGTCACTGCGGTCAGCGTTAAACCGATAGCACCTACAAGAATGCATGAATACTTCACGCATTGCGCCAAAGACAGTGCGGTCAGCATGAAACGCTTAGCGCCTACAAGACTGCGTGAATACTTATCACGTATTGTGTCAAACACAGTGCAGTCTGCGCGGCGCGGCGGCGGAAGTTAAAATCATTAAACTACATTTATGTTTGTTCTTTCATAATTTGTTCGTTCATTTCTTATGAATGGAAGGCCTTGTCCACACAGAGATAGGTTTACGGAACTTAACTTTCGCGCAAAGTTCCGTGAACGTTTGCTAGTAGTGTTAACAGGGCTTTCCCAAAAAATATGCCCAACACGAGTAAACGAGTCTTATGCACCCTTCCCCCGCTGGTACGTTTACTTGATGGTTTTTATTGGTATTTCAAAACGAATGAGAAGGGGGCGGCAAAATACAGGCGGCACACGGGCGGCAAGTAGGTAAATCCGGCCCTGGACAGACATGTTTCAAATGTACATTTTACAATAGTGAAAAACTAATTAAACCACGAGCATGGTCAAGTTAGCATTTTTTAAGTGTAAAATCTACATTGAAACATGTCGAGCACTTTTTTTTAAAGTACAAAATTTATCAGCAATTTCATATTTGACAACGTGTAAGAACAGAAACCAATACCTACTGATCAGAACGAAAGAGTTACCTAATTTTCACGATTGAGAAAACCAACGTGAAAAACAAATCAACGATGATACTCCCAAACCACGTATCTCGTTCGCGGGATTTTAATACCTCCGCTCCGAGTTTATTTTTTAAAGGATAGAGAATCAACATCATGCTTAAGTTTTCACACAATTTTTTTCGCTCATTACCTATAAGACTAAGCCGTACAACGTTTCAAGTCTCGTACTACAATCTATTAAATGTACTACGTATAGGCTCACTCATGTACCGCTTTAATGCTCATCAGAGGCTCTTTGATTTTACAGGAATGGTTGTTTCTGCCCTTAGTTATTTTCGGACCCGTGATCGAAGAAAAAGGTCGACCGGGGGCTTTCTTGACCCTCAACCCTAAAACTGCACGCCCTGAATCATCAATCCCCTACATCGCCGGTTTCAGCTCTGGTGAGGGTGGAATTGTCGCTTCAGGTATTGCGCTATCACACTGAAATCATCTTTTTGAAAAATTGATTTGTCCGGGGCGCCGCGCCGCGATCCCATTGTAGTCGAACCACCTCCGAAACGTCGCAAAGATTAATAATTGAAAAAATGTCGGCAAACTTGAATTTCATAAAAATGTTGCTTAATTTTTTACATTATAGCAAATTCGTTGCGATTTTTTGGTGTGGTCTTAGAGCCGGGGGGTGGGGCGTATCAATCACTCTAAGAGCCAGTTGGACGTATTTCTGTCCAACGGAACTGAGCGCCATCGGAGGAGGAAGGTAGAGGGGGGCTTGGATTGGCGGCGGAATTGGACGTCCGACTTATTCCGTCCTATACTCGCAAAGCTTTTCCACGGCGCTTAGGTCCGTTTGATAGAACGCGCTATCCGGGATTCTAAATTCCTCAAAAGGAACTCAAATTGGCGCTTAGTTCCGTTTGATAGAAATACGTCCAATTCAACAAACCTGCCGTGTTATAATAAAGAGGCAGTTCACAACGCGGCGATCAGCAGAAATACAGGCGACATACAGCGAAGAACGACAGATTTGGACCAGTAGCAAGGCGTGAATCATCGATTATCGATATTTCCCCATTTGAAGCTGTGGTAAAGAATCGACTGTCAAAGTGTTCGTTGCGAACACCCTGTTTATCGTTCATTTTCTATAGGTTTAAATGGCATGTCAATCGATGTATCGCAAAGCCTGATAGACCACGTATACCGCCAGGAATCTATCATAATGTTTTAAAGAAAAGCACGAAGAAGGAAAAGGAAAAGGAGGAGAAAATGCAGATGGGAACAATTTTTAAAATTAAACATTCTGCTCTATAATATCACATCCGCGGCGTAATTAGGGATGTGAATATTTTGGCTAATGTGCACTCATTATTTGAACATTTTAATCTTAGAGGTAGTTATTAGCCTCTAATTTATATAGATTTATTAAACTCAGGCCATTAGGCATAAGCGTGTAGTTTGAACATTTTTTTGGGGAAGAATGGTTCAAGGGTCTCTGTATCTTTAAAAGCCTATACAAGAGGTTACACACGAACACAACTTCACCAGGGTGGAGAGGCACCAGCCTGGGGGCAGGGGGGTCACCAGTTAAGGCTACGCTAATACCAAAGGGCCGAACACGAAACTTTATGGCCACGGTTCGGTCGTCCCTAAAAGTATTTCATCAACACCCTATTTCTTTTCTTGCTGACAGGTTTGTTCACAAAGGCTCCTCACTTCGTCCAAGACTTGGAAACGGCTCCTGACCGACTCCTTCCTCTCCTGCTCAATCTCAGAGGCAAATATGATCAAAGGGCATTGGACGACATCAGTGAGCAAATTAAAGGCTACTACTTCGGCGGTAGACAAATCAACAACGACACAATCCCAGAATTTATAGATGTGAGTAAAATTTGAAGAGAAAAGACCTAAGTTCGTGGGGGCACAATTTTCAGGGACTTACCGATTTTCAATTATGCATGTGGCCAGCTGTTACTGATATGACCACTTTCGATGTAATTTAATTAAAGGATGAGTAATGCACGGTCGTCAAAACGCCTTCATTTATTTGACTATGCAATCCTATTCCGGAGTGCACGAATAGTTGCCTCGTCCAAGCCGTCCGTGCCGATTGGAATACTACTTAAAATTTACGAGAATTTTGAAGCTCAGAACTCGGTTGTTTACATATTTTTTTTGCTAATTAAAATCTTTTGCAACGCCGTGGCTTCGTTCAAACATAGAAATACAAAATCGACAAAAATTATATAATTTCTGACAAAAATTCTTTGTTCAGAAAGAGGCAATTGATCCTAAAGTAATATGTTACAATTATTGCAATGTGCGGTTGACTCAGATGGACTATGGTTGTTCGCGGTAGTAAGAAATTTGAGCTTATAACGATATGGAAAACGATCAATGTCACATATTTTGTGAGAAGGTTTTGAAAAATTGTAGTAAGATCACCGTGTTAACATCGAGATACGTAAAACTTTCTTGAGGAAACATGAACGCTTCATGGAACGTGTGAATGTTCGGAGATTCAAACGCGGGGTAGAAAAGTAGAAAAGTGCATAAAAGCATCGCCACCGGTCGTTACACAAACACACCATGAAATTTCTCTCCTTCATTCAATATTTCCACTTCAATTTCCTACACAAAGGAGGAAGGAAAGAAGAAGGAGTAAAAGGGGAGAAGAAGATGAGAGAAAGAGAAGAAGAAAAGATAGAGAAGAAGGAAAAAGGAGAACGAGGAAAAAAGGAAGAAGAAGATGAGAGACGAAGGAGGAAGAAGGGAAATAAGAGAGTAAGATGAAGATAAAGGGAAGAGAATGAAGAGGAAGATGATGGATAAAAAAACTAAAGAAATAAGTAGAAATGTTTAAGAGGAGGAAAATAAGAGAAGCAGGTGGAAGAAAAGAGAAAGGATTGAATGGTATCATTGGGAAATGACGCGCTCACCACTCTAACCGCACCCTCAAAAAATAATTTTTTACCATAAGAAGAGGTTACTTTAACGCCATGTTAGTTCGCCTTCAATTTTTAGGATAGGCAATACGGACTCCCATGTGGTCGAATAGTGGTATCACCGTAAATGACCAGCTTCAGAACACAAAAAAATCCCTTTGCTGAATCTGGCAACATTTCTTTGACCTTAACATGTACGAAGAGATGACATTTTCGTGCTAATTCGTAATAATAATGATTACTTTAACATCTTCCAGATGATCACAGACAATTGGTTTATGTACGGGACCTTGGCAGCAGGCGTTCGGTGGGGATCACCTGCCTATCTGTACTATTACGACTACCCTAGTGCACTTTCCTACAATCAGATTTTTGGAGATGGTTCAATTAAAAGTAAGCACCTCCTTTTATTCATTCGAGAGATTGCAGTTTTTAGACGGACAGAAAAGTTAACCTCCGCTAACGAGCGGAAGTTTATTTCGCTTATACGTGGCTCTTTAATTGTTGATGCGTAGCGCCTGAAATTTAAAAAAAAAAAATAAAAAAAAAAAAAAAAACCCTACTTTTAAGTACATTATACCACGAGCAGTCAAGATAAAAAATGTTTGATGAGAGAGATGTTCGAGAGAAGGAATAAACTGAGTTGAATATTACATGGAGGCTTAAGACACAATTGAACTCCTAACTCAAACATTGTGGCTATTATTGGACATCCAGCGTTCAATTTATTCGCGAAGTATGTCCCGAAACAAATAGGCACAAGTGTCTCGATAATCTGTCGTGATCGGAACCGGAGCTACCAGAGCCGGATAATCAAATACTAAGCTATGAGGAATGTTTAAGGAAGTTTCCGAGCGTTTAAGAGGATTTTTA